GGAAGGGTGTAGGTAAATGTGGTAATTGTAGTTACTGATTTGAGGTGAAGGTGGTGAAGTTGGTGATTGTGGTTGTAGGCGAAGGCGATGATTTCAAGCCAGGCTTCGTTGAGAGAGACGAGAGAGAAATGGGCGGGGAAGAGAACGTGTTTTGGGGTTTTTTAATTTTGAAAACCATTTTTCAAAATAATAAAAAGAACACATTTTCAACAAATACAAAATGGACACTCAAAACACAAAACTCAAAATGATTTCAAAACTCAAAACACAAAATTGAAACACAAAGAGAACACCCCCTAAGTGATCTTTGCCTTTGTAAATTTCTTATGTGGGATAAACTTAAACAAGTTTTCCCTCCAACACATTTACATATTCCAATTTATCATTTTGTGCTTCAATTTCTAATTCACCCGCTTATCATTTTTGGCAAGCAAATATATGATTTCGATATCCGTGACGAGAATACAGATCAACCTTAATCTTCCAAAATGAATGAACGGTCCCGCTCAAAATAAATATGTCAAAAGTAGCCAATTAAGTCAAATTTTCCAATAGTTCTTTTGTATAGAAATAGTTTATTTGTTTAGTGAAGCCAGAATTCATATCTCATTAATAGTTCTTTTGTATAGAAATAGTTTATTTGTTTAGTGAAGCCAGAATTGATATCTCATCATTTTCATATCTTCATATAAACTATGGCCTATACCATCGCACTGTTGGCAACATTACCGGTTATCATGGCCGTTCTTCTCTACCGACTCGATACCTTCGCTCCGGCTCAATATCCCGATCACGAGTTGACTCCAAAGCAACCCCTATTTGTGCCTAAACGAAACAGTCAGATGCTTCATGGGTCGGAAAAAATCGGGGCTGGTCAGCTGCTGGGGCCGGAAGATATAGCTTACGATCCCATCACCGGAATTATATACACCGGCACAACCGATGGGTGGATCAACCGAGTCTCGGTTAACAAGTCAGCAGCAGAGTCGAAGGTGGAGAGATGGGTCAACACTGGCGGCCGACCACTAGGACTTGTTCATGGACATCATGGTGAAGTCATCATAGCAGATGCTGTTAAGGTTAGTAATAAATAAATTTATAATAAAATTTGATCTCTCAACTCGTCAATCCTTTGAGATCTTCGATCTTCTCTTCGCCCAGTTCAGGGCAGTCCTCGCCGTTGGCTTTCTACATCGAAATAATATTTGAATATTCTCATTGTTTCCAATGGCATTTGACATGGTATAAACTCAATTATTTATTTTTTGGTACATGGATGAAAAAGACTTTATGGCCCTCGCTGTAGGGTGTTGTTGCACGTGATAAGAGTATAGTTTTTAATATCTAATGTATAAATTTCGTGGTCCTCTTCGAAATAAGTTTAATTATTCAATGGGTCATCGAATTTTTCACCGAGTTATTAGAATGTCATTGAATTCTAGTTCGTTTATTAGTTACCTTGAAACTATTATAAGTTTATATTGGATTCCGTTTGAAAAAAAAAAGGTTTTACACAATAAAAAGTTTAATGACCATTTGGGAACATCAAAACCTTGTTCGAATTCTTGGAATGGAACTAAAAAAAGTTGGGTCGAATGATCCTATGAGTTCAATTAATTATGGGAAAGAAAAAACAACCAGCTTCTGGCAAGAAGGTGTAGAGAAAATGTCTCAAGCCAATGTTCGAACATCAAGCTCTATGACACTGAAGTAACCCACGTCATACTCTTAGAAAAAGCTCGAACGACCTTTAAATAAAATGATACCTATACTCGAAACCAACACAAGTTGGTAGGTATAAAATACTTAAAGAGGGCGTGAGATAGCTCTTTCTAAGGAACTCGACAAAATAGTCCCTTGACTGCAGGAGATGGTGTTTTTTTCCTGTTGGACAAAGTTAACATCGTTGATATGTCACTTAAGAATTATATATGAGATATTTGTTTGTATTGCAGGGGTTACTAAATGTGAGTAGAGATGGTACAATAGAGCTGCTGACTGATGAGGCTGAAGGTCTAAAATTCAAGCTAACAGATGCTGTTGATATTACTCTTGATGGCATTCTTTACTTTACAGATGCTTCTTATAAATATGCTCTCCACGAGTTTTTTTCAGATATTTTAGAGGGTAGACCACATGGCAGATTCATGAGTTATGATCCGTCTACCAAACAAACGAAAGTGCTACTGCATGATTTATATTTTCCGAATGGTGTAGCAGTTTCACCAGATCAGCATTCTGTTATATTTTGCGAGACTCCCATGTATGTTTTCTTTACACACTAATAATTGACATGTTTGGTGCCATACTATAATATAGAATTGATGTCCTGTCCCTAGGGAGCAAGATAAAAAACTTCTACTGCTGACATAGAAAAAAAACCGTAGTTGTGATTCTTTGAATTTCATTGCTGATGTGGCAAGAGAACCATAACTAAAGTTTTCTTGCCACGTCAACGGAGGAAAGTTTTTATTAGTAGGCAGGAGATTAGGATTGTACTTTAATATCCCTAACTAAGGTTGATGTCGCAATTGATTAAATTGCAGGAGAAGGTGTAAAATGTATTACATAAAAGGTGAAAAGAAAGAGTCCGTGGATACATTTATCGAAAATTTACCTGGACTGCCTGACAACATTCGATACGATGGAGCAGGCCAATATTGGATTGCATTTCCCACAGTATAACTTAAATATATTCTTTCACTGAACTTCTTATATGGTTCATTAAAGTCTACAAATAACATTTGTAAATTCGCCTTGTAACAGGGAAATACGTACTTTTTGACTTTGTCACAACGGTATGCTTTCATCCGTAAGGTGGTGGCAATAATGGCTAAATACATGGGTGGACCACCGCGTTTCGAGAAGAATGGAGGGATTTTTGCCGTTAACTTGGATGGAAAGCCAATGGCACACTATTATGATCATGATCTATATCGAACAACAAGCGGCATCAAAATTGGGGAGCATTTGTATTGTGGTTCGATACATCATGCGCCTTAATACATCATGCGCCTTAATACAAGCCAATATCCAGCAACATGATATGGAGGATGGTGGTTGGGTTTTTTACTTTCTCTTATTTGATCGTTGGCAAGTTTCCTAAAATAGGGCTCAAACTTTTTGCTTGGATTAAATCGAACTCTATGCCCTTGTTTGGTGGCCTTTAAACTTAAAAAACTTTGTTTTGAATAATATTTTTTAGAGGATGTGTAATTAAAAAGTAGGAAAAAGATTCAGATTTATGAGTGAAATATTTTATTTCTAGATTGAAAACAGGTACTTCGATCGTCTTGTATCAAGTTAAGAGAAGGGGATGATAGAATTAGTAAGGCTCAAACCTACAATATCACCGTAGGGATGGCCATGGAGCAGAGACCCCATTTGCGGGGCGCGGATATGAGTGGTGGGCCAATTTCCATTTACCACCTTATTTATATTATATTTATATTTTATTTTAAATATTAAGTATGATATTTTAATGTAAAAAACTAAATTTAAATAAAAGAAGCTGTAAATGACCGTTCTCATATCTGCATACCCCCCCTAGTCCCATAGATATTCTCACCTACTTTCATAGCTGTATCCACGTTAATTAAGGTAATGATGAGACGAAGGTGGCAACAAGCATCTCATCTCATGGTCGGTGGTTGAAATTTTGTTTCTGTTCTTGTAACCTCTTAAGCTTCTGAAATTCTGAGATAAGATATATACCGACGCTGGAGGACAACGGAAAACCAGATCATTACTTCTGATCTCCCAACTGCTCCAAATTAAGGATCATAAAATTTCCTTCAGTTCATAATCATGTGTCGACATTGTTTTTCCAAATTTTGAGGATCAGATGCCATTATTAGCATAATCATGACCAACTCTTTTGGAAAATCTGCTAATCCTCCAATGTTCTGCCGCCAACCAACTACACCGCAATAACGTATGTAAACTGTCTTCCTTTTATGGATGACAATGACATAATTTATAGCCAGTGGTAAGTATGCTCATGACCACTTTCCAACAGAAAAAATTAACCTTACATTTGTTAATCTGTTAATATTATTCATAAACAAAAAATTTGCTCTCTGTAGTTGAACACACGTTTTTAAAGAACAATTATATTATACTCTTATTTTGAAAAAGTACTAAGCCACTATTTTGGCTCCATTAAAATATGATTTCGGGTGAAATAATGATTTTTTGAGAATTTGTGTTTAAAAATTAAGGAATTTTTTTGAATTAATGTATAACATTATTTTATGGGTGAATGAAGGTCGAAAACGAGTTTTAAAAAAATAAAAGGAATCCAAACAGGAGATAAGGACACTTCCTCTCACTAAACCCATGCTGCATCTAAATTAAAAATATAGATTACATCACTATCACTACTCTATTAAAAGAGAGGATGACCAAATCACTATTCATTTTTGCACATGAGGTTTCACATTTGATCACTTCATATCTGGTTTCGCTATAGTAGCCTACAATGAACTAGCCTTTTTTGTTGACTTTGTAATACTTCAATTAATGTTTTTGTAGTCGGTTGTCTAAACTCAAAATGATTTCAAAACTCAAAACACAAAATTAAATCACAAAGAGAACACCCCCTAAGTGATCTTTGCCTTTGTAAATTTCTTATGTGGGATAAACTTAAACAAGTTTTCCCTCCAACACATTTACATATTCCAATTTATCATTTTGTGCTTCAATTTCTAATTCACTCGCTTATCATTTTTGGCAAGTAAATATATGATTTCGATATCCGTGACGAGAATACAGATCAACCTTAATCTTCCAAAATGAATGAACGGTCCCGCTCAAAATAAATATGTCAAAAGTAGCCAATTAAGTCAAATTTTCCAATAGTTCTTTTGTATAGAAATAGTTTATTTGTTTAGTGAAGCCAGAATTCATATCTCATTAATAGTTCTTTTGTATAGAAATAGTTTATTTGTTTAGTGAAGCCAGAATTCATATCTCATCATTTTCATATCTTCATATAAACTATGGCCTATACCATCGCAGTGTTGGCAATATTACCGGTTATCATGGCCGTTCTTCTCTACCGACTCGATACCTTCGCTCCGGCTCAATATCCCGATCACGAGTTGACTCCAAAGCAACCCCTATTTGTGCCTAAACGAAACAGTCAGATGCTTCATGGGTCGGAAAAAATCGGGGCTGGTCAGCTGCTGGGGCCGGAAGATATAGCTTACGATCCCATCACCGGAATTATATACACCGGCACAACCGATGGGTGGATCAACCGAGTCTCGGTTAACAAGTCAGCAGCAGAGTCGAAGGTGGAGAGATGGGTCAACACTGGCGGCCGACCACTAGGACTTGTTCATGGACATCATGGTGAAGTCATCATAGCAGATGCTGTTAAGGTTAGTAATAAATAAATTTATAATAAAATTTGATCTCTCAACTCGTCAATCCTTTGAGATCTTCGATCTTCTCTTCGCCCAGTTCAGGGCAGTCCTCGCCGTTGGCTTTCTACATCGAAATAATATTTGAATATTCTCATTGTTTCCAATGGCATTTGACATGGTATAAACTCAATTATTTATTTTTTGGTACATGGATGAAAAAGACTTTATGGCCCTCGCTGTAGGGTGTTGTTGCACGTGATAAGAGCATAGTTTTTTATATCTAATGTTGTATAAATTTCGTTGTCCTCTTCGAAATAAGTTTAATTATTCAATTGGTCATCGAACTTTTCACCGAGTTATCATTGAATTCTAGTTTGTTTATTAGTTACCTTGAAACTATTATAAGTTTATATTGAAGTGGATTCCGTTTGAAAAAAAAATGGTTTTACACAATAAAAAGTTTAATGACCATTTGGGAACATCAAAACCTTGTTCGAATTCTTGGAATTGAACCAAAAAAAAAAATTGGGTCGACTGAATAAATGAATAGGGCCCTATGACTTCAATTAATTATTGGAAAGAAAAAGCAACCAGCTTCTTGTAAGAAGATGTAGAGAAAATGCCTCGAACCAATGTTCAAACACCAAAGTCTATGACATTGAAGTAACCCACGTTATACTCTTAGAAAAAGCTCGAACGACCTTTAAATAAAATGGTACATGTATTTGAAACCAATACAAGTAGGTAGGTATAGAATACTTAGATGTCACGAGATATTTTTCTCGAAAGAACTCAACAAAATAGCCATGTGACTTCAGAAGATGGTGTTTTGTTCCTGTTGGACAAAGTTAACATGGTTGATATGTCATAAGAATTATATATGGGACATTTGTTTGTATTGCAGGGGTTACTAAATGTGAGTAGAAATGGTACAATAGAGCTGCTGACTGATGAGGCTGAAGGTCTAAAATTCAAGCTAACAGATGCTGTTGATATTAATCTTGATGGCATTCTTTACTTTACAGATGCTTCTTATAAATACGCTCTCCAAGAGCTTTCTTCAGATTTTTTAGAGGGTAGACCATATGGCAGATTCATGAGTTATGATCCGTCTACAAAACAAACGAAAGTGCTACTACATAATTTATATTTTCCGAATGGTGTAGCAGTTTCACCAGATCAGCATTCTGTTATATTTTGCGAGACTCCCATGTAAGTTTTTCTTTGCACACTAATAATTCACATGTTTGGTATCAGGGACGGATCCAGGACCGGATTATAGACCGGGTTAATACATACAAAAAAAAAATTACACATGATTTTTTTTTCTAACTAAAAAAAAAAAATTTTGGGGCCCCCCTAAATCCGTCCGTGTTTGGTACCATACTATATAATATAGAATTGATCTCCTATCCCTAGTGGGCAAGATAAAAACTTTCTACTGCTGATATTGTAAAAAAACCTTAGTTATGATTCTCTGAATTTCATTGCTATTCTCTTGTCATGTAAACGGTGGAAAGTTTTTATTAGTGGGCAAGAGATTAGGATTGTAATTTAATTTCCCTAACTAAGGTTGATGTCGTAATTGATTAAATTGCAGGAGAAGGTGTAAAACGTATTACATAAAAGGTGAAAGGAAAGAGTCCGTGGATACATTTATCGAAAATTTACCTGGATTGCCTGACAACATTCGATACGATGGAGCAGGCCAATATTGGATTGCATTATTCACAGTATAACTTAAAACACATTCTTCCACTATTGAAGAATATACCAAGTAACTTCACTACAAATAACATTTGCAAATTTGCCTTGTAACAGGGAAATACATACTTTTTTACTTTGTCACAACGGTATGCCTTCATCCGTAAGATGGTGGCAATAATGGCTAAGTACATGGGTGGACCACCGCGATTCGAGAAGAATGGAGGGATTTTTGCCGTTGATTTGGATGGAAAGCCGATGGCACACTATTATGATCATGATCTATATCGAACAACAAGCGGCATCAAAATTGGGGAGCATTTGTATTGTGGTTCGGTACAACTTCCATACATCATGCGCCTTAATATAAGCCAATATCCAGCAACATGATATGGCGGATGGTGGTTGGGTTTTTTACTCTCTCTTATTTGATCGTTAGCAAGTTTCCAAAAATAGGGCTCAAACTTCTTTGCTTGGATTAAATCAAACTCTATGCCTCTATTTGGTGGCCTTTAAACTTATAAAACTTTGTTTTGAGTAATATTTTTTAGAGAATGTGTGGTTAAAAAGTAGAAAAAAAATTTAGATTTACCCGTAGAATATTTTATTGCCAGATTGAAAATGGGTACTTCAATTGTCTTGTATCAAGTGGGCCAATTTCTATGTGTGTGTGATGGATATTCTCCCGAATCTCCCCTACTTTCACAGGCCACAGCTGTATCCACCTTAATTAAGGTAATGATGAGACGAAGGTGGCAACCAGCATCTCATCTCGTGGTCGGTGGTTGAAATTTTGTTTCTATTCTTGTAACCTCTTTAAGGTTCTGAAATTATTTGAGATAAGATAAGATACCGACGCTGGAGGACAATGGAAAACCAGATAATTATTTCTGATCTTCCGACTGCCCCAAATTAAGGATCATAAAATTTCCTTCAGTTCACGTGTCGAGATTGTTTTTCCAAATTGTAAGGATCAGATTGCCAGTACTAGCATAATCGTGACCAAGTCTTTCTGGAAAATCTGCTATTCATCCAAATTTCAGCCGCCAACCAGCTACACCGCAATAACGTATGTAAACTGTCTTCCTTTTATGAATGAGTCATGACTCATGACCACTTGCCGACAGAAAAATAACCTTACATTTGTTAATTTCTTAATATTATTCGTAAACAAAAAAGTTGCTTTACCTGTAGTTGCTTATTTTGAACCTTATTTCGAAAAGTACTAAGCCACTATTTTGGCTTCCATTAAAATAAGATTTTGGGTGTTGGGGGTGCTTTGAAATAATGATTTTTTTTGGAGAATTTGTGTTTAAAAAATAATGAATTTTTTTGAATTAATGCATATCATTATTTTATGGGTGAATGAGAGGTTGAAAATGAGTTTTAAAAAATGGAGCCCAAACATGAGATAAGGACACTTCCTCTCACTAAACCAATGCTGCATCTAATTAGGGTGTGTTTGAGCCACGTTATTTTGAAAAAATGTATTTTGAAATTGTAGATTGATGGAGAATGTGTGGTTGAAAATGAGTAAAAGAATGAGAATGAAAATTTTAATGTGTACCAAACATGGGCTTAAATTAAAAATATAGCCCCCGTTTAACACCCATTTTTTTTTTTCATTCTCATTCTTTTTCTCTTTTTTCATTTCAACCACATATTCTATTAATAAAATAATATTACACATAAATCTAAAAATTCTCCTTACTTTTATCCACACATTCTTCCATCAAACACTATTTAAAAACATATTTTTCTATTAAAATGGGTGTTAAGGAAGGAAAAAATTAATTTTCAATTATATGAATAGCTCATGTTTGACAACCATCAAACGATAGAAGATGTTGACAATGTCTCACAGTGGTGGACTTTACTGTGATTAAAAAATATAAAAAAATACTCACCCACCAATGTGTTAGCGTATGAAAACCAAATTAAATGTATACGTAGCACTGCTCAATTCATTAATTCATTTCCGTAATAAAAACGTCGCTGATGAAAATCTTCAGACAACAAAGCCTTGATTGACGCGATGTACTGATCCTTCTGCATATTCAGGACCACCATTATTATTTTCTTTTGACTTTTCTCTCTCTTTGATCAGTAAGAGTTACATATTTAACTTTTTTTTTTTTTCCTTGCACAACTCAAAAATCTCTATTCTTATTTTACTTAGCCCCGTTTGATTGGTGTTTTTCTCTTAAAACTTGGAAAAAGAATTTCATTTTCTTGGTTTTGGCTCGTGCGATTGTCACAATTTTCTATGGGAAATTTTTCCTCCCATAGTCCCATCCCTACTTTCCTCAAAATTGATGAAAAGTTTTTCCCACTCTTTTTATTGGTTTTGACTTGTTTGATTGTCACAATTTTCTATGGAAAAATTTCCCCCCATCCCTATTTTCCTCAAAATTGATGAAAAGTTTTTCCCACCATTTTGGTGGGAAAAGCTTTTCTAGGTGCCACTGCCTTTTTTTTATTTATTTATTTGCAATGAAAACAAATTTCATAAGTAGTTGTAAAAAAGTTTTTTCACTTTAATGGACAATTTTCTTGTAAAACAAATCCAAACGAATACTAAATTTTGATTTAAAAAAATGATTTTTTAGAAAAAAAATTCCCCTTTTTTTCCCTTTTTAGCAGTGGAAACAAATTTTATAAACAACTGTGAAAAAATTGTTAGTTTAATAGACAATTTTCATATAAAACAAAGCCAAACGAACAATTTTTCGGGTGAAAAATTGTATCAATCAAACAAACTAAATTAATAATTCCCTGTAAAACAATTTTTAGGTAATTACTTTCCCTTAAATTCGTTTTCTTTCCACTCATTTTCCACCATTGTAATCAAACGGACCCTTATATCAATTCCTTTTTCTTTGAATTTTTACAAATGGATTAATGGCAGAAAATTTCCCCAAAAATGTTTTAATTTGCATATACCCTTCAATATATTAAAAATAGTACAAAACCTTCAAATTTGAAACATTTTGTGAAAAACCCTATGACGTTAGCATCTCTGTCATATTTTCCTTCAAAAATAGTAAAAAATATCAAAATTAAATAGAAATAATTGCAATTTCAATACCTAAACTTTTATTTTTTCAAAAATTAAATCCAAATATTTTATATGTGTCACCCACAATTCCGAATCTTTAAAATTTTATTTTTCATCGTATCCCACCCTACCTCACTTTATCTTCTTCTTCGTCCCACGACTAGCAAAACAATCCAAAACCCAGAGAACCCCAATCTTCTCCTCCTGAGGTGGTCTCGGGAGGAGAAGAGGAGAGAGATTAGCGGATCACACTTATTCAAAAATGGACAGCCATAACTCATGAGTCAAGTGAAGCTTACTAGGACCCAATCTTCTCTTCTCCGGTCATCCCCAATCGTCCGATCATCGATTCATAGCTTTTCTTTAATATGTAAGATAACACCCCGAACGAGAAACAGAGGACCTGGAAGAGCAAAAGCCACATGGCAAGCCAAGTTTGCCATTGGTTGTACCAGATTCCAGATCCGATTTGGCTACGTTTATTACGATGAGGTGGGGTTAGGGATCACTACTGCAAATTTTCCCATAAAATATTTGGATTTGATTTGTGAAAAAACAAAAATTTGAGTATTGAAATTGCAATTATTTCTTTTTAATTATGACATTCTTAAATATTTTTAGCGAAAAATTTGAAGAATGTCGACGGTAGGGGGTTTTTCGCATAAAGGGAGTTTTATGTGATTTGTAATAGATAGGGGGTATGTCGCAAATTGAAACTTTTTAGGGGGATTTTCTTCTATTAATCTTTTTACAAATTTTTAACCTTTAAACTTTCCTGTAGCATGTTTGAGCAGACGAAATAGATTGAGAGACCAAGAAGATAAATATGCCAAGTATAGAAATAATATTTATGCGTAATTCGCACTTTAAAAAGTCTAAAGACGTAAAAAGTTAATATATATAACATTATATCGGATCATTCAAAACCTAACCTTGAACTTATTCGACACGTTCAATTCATATTAAATTTAATTTAACATAGATGAGACAGAAGTCACGTTCAGATTAACTTAACCGTGGACTTTTCTACTACTGTCGAATTATAAAACCGCTGTCCAGAAATGAAGAAAAAAAAGAGTACATGGGAATTTCTGCAGTTGCCAAATATATTCTAAATAATGCTGAATAATAATATTTTATTAATTCCGTGTGAAAGTTGCTCCATCTATCAATAACGACTGGATTGTTTATGTACTTTCCAGACAGCATTTACTATTATTTCTGGCCCCCAAATACATAATGTTAAATTCATTGATTTATATAAAATATCATTTCTGGATTGATTTTAATGGACGCTAGTCAGCAAGAAGACCACTTGTTTTTCTTCCTCATTTGAAATTCTCTGTGGACAAATCTGTGTTTCTGCTCTTCAAACTGAGTTTCTGCTAAAAGGTTGTGTGACTGTGTGGAATCTTATGGCGGGGGATAAAGGAGGTACTTCAAGGGAACTTGATCAGACACCGACATGGGCGGTGGCGGTTGTGTGTGCAATTATCATAATAATCTCGATTGCCTTGGAAAAGATTCTTCACAAAGTTGGAATGGTATGAAAATTTACTTTCTGACCATTTATCCTGTGCAAATCTTTGTGGGTTTTCTTTAGGAAATATTTTGAAATCTACCGTTGTTTGGAGGTTTACCTTTTGCACTCTTGAAAAGTAATTTTCAGCAGGATGCTATCAAATAGTTATATGATGCTTTAATTCTGAAATTATCTGTTGTTCGATGGTTTGACCATTCGAAATTATATAATTATTGATGTTTTTATTACTTTGTTCAGCTCTTTTCTTGCTCCAAACTAATAACTATGGAGTTTTGACCCTAATGAGATTGCTGATGTTGTGACGCAGTGGTTAACGGATAGGCGTAAGAAAGCTCTTTACGAGGCATTGGAGAAGATCAAAGCTGGTAGGTAATAATTTCTATCCTTCCTGAGCAAGAGATTTGCATTTGAAGTCTAACTTATTCTTTTCCGACTGTGACAGAGTTGATGATACTCGGTTTCATCTCGCTCATTCTTGTGTTCTGTCAATATTATATTGCTGAAATCTGCATACCTATTCATGTTGCGAATACCATGTTGCCTTGTCCTTTAAAAGCCGCAGAAGACAAAAAGGATACTAAGGGAGATGATGGTCATCGTAGACTTCTATGGTATGATCGTAGAGTTTTGGCTGGTGGTAAAGAAGCCAAGTGCAAGGAGGTAAACATGGTTTGCTTTTTGAATCTAGTTATGCTATTGATTAAATGAAATTGTTTCTTGTAAATTATTTTGATAAAAACAAAGAAGAATATGATAAAATAGAGTCAAGCTAGCTAATCAAGCCAGCATATTTTGGCATTGACAAGTTTGACCCTCCAAAAAGTTTAAGACTACACCAGTCACCATATAGAGCACATTATAAGATAGATCAAATGTTATTGTGTCAAGACGACCAACTCATCGATAATAAACTAGTACAATTAACAGCAGTTTTGGCATTCTATTTTTGTCATCAATCAATTATTTGATATTATGAGATTGAAGAAAATGGGCCAATGAAACTTAAAATGTATATGTTCAGTTTAAAGTGTATTAATATTTTTCAGGAATTCCGTTCCGTGGTGATTTTTATTAGACTTTTACATGATTTGATTTCAAAAGATAGATATTTTTCTTTTTTGTTCTCTACAATTTGGGCCATATTTCAAATGTGGACTATGCATTACTACTCTTTTCACAAACCAGCAATTGAAACATAGAGGGGTGATTTCATAATCGATAATAATAAACTGTAGTCTTAGACTTTACATATAAGCGTCTGCCACACACTGTTCTCCCTCTCCCCCCCTTTTTTTATCCCTACATTTGGCTTAATTTCTCTCATCATTTATTCTTTGATCAATTCTTGCAGGACCATGTATCACTTATATCAGTCGATGGACTGCATCAGATTCACATCCTTATCTTCTTTCTTGCTGTTGTCCATGTGATTTACAGTGCTATTACTATGGCCCTCGGAAGACTGAAGGTAATTTAAATTGCAGTAATCAACTATGTCCTTATATATCTGATCATCAATGATAATTACAAAAGAATGCTATATGTGATAAAGAAGAATGCAATTTTTCTCAAAGAATGCTTCACTGTGTAAAATTTAATTGTGAAATCTATATACAGAAATAAAAATGGAGTAATTAATATTCCATTTATAGTCACCAACAAAATGTTTCATCACCAGTACTACAATAAGTGATGCATATTTGAGATGCTCATCCAGTATGTGATTGGTCACATTCTCTGAAAGCAGATATAGACCCTTCTGTTGCATCACATCTTTTATGATTGGAGAGGAGACCTATCCTTCAAATGGTTTACCACTGGCCTAAATTATATCCTAAATGTATGATAACAAAACCAGATACCAAGCTCAAATTTGCTCTTATTTGATGCTTGTTCACCAAGGTTCAGTATTTCTAGAGTAGTCTTGATTTATGTCATGCAGATTCGTGGCTGGAAGCAATGGGAAGAGGAGACTTCATCCCATGACTATGAGTTTTCAAATGGTATATCACCGCATGCTGTAATATATATGAGACTTTGTTAACTAGATGACATCTAGCCCCTGTTTGACACCCATTTTTTCTCATTCTCATTCTCTTTTTTTTTTCTCTTTCTTCATTTCAACCACACATTCTATCAATAAAATAATACTACACATAAACCCAAAAATTCTCATTACTTTTTAACCACACATTCTTCCATCAATCACTATTCCAGAATTTATTTTTTGTCAAAAACGGGGTGTCAAACAGGGGCCTAATCTTTACTTATTCATTATTTGCAAAGTGCTTCTCACTGAATTGGCTATTTAACTGTGGAGCTGGCAGATCCTTCAAGATTCAGGTTTACTCATGAGACATCTTTTGTGAGAGCACACACTAGTTTCTGGACCAGGATTCCGTTATTCTTCTATATTGTAAGATATAATCTTTGTCTTTGTCATTCTTCTTTATGATATTTCCATGTGAAGTGCCTGGAACCTTGACATTTTCAAATTTAATATTTCATGTAATCGACTGATTTTCAGCAAATCAAAATTCTTACATGCAGGGATGCTTTTTTCGTCAATTTTTTAGGTCTGTTAGCAAATCTGACTACATGACCCTGCGTCATGGGTTTATCTCTGTGAGTTTTTCTACTTTCATATCCTCGTTATTTCTGGTTAGGTAACCCGTTCCCCTTAGAGTTTGAAGTTTTTGGTTGTTTAGGTCCATTTAGCACCTGGGAGCAAATTTAACTTCCAAAAGTATATCAAAAGGTCACTGGAGGATGACTATAAGACAGTTGTGGGAGTCAGGTAAAACATCTTTAGTTGAATTCATAGTTTTCTTAGATTTTATTCTGACAAATCGATATTATCATTGTGACTTTTCCTTTTTGTTCCCTTTTTTTTAATGTTGCAGTCCAGTATTATGGGGGTCATTTGTGGTGTTCTTGCTCCTAAATGTTAATGGTTAGTCAATATTTAATTGTAAAATATGTTTCATCATTTTCCTTCTCTGATTACATAATAAGTTCATTGATCTAAATATTACGTTGTCTCTAAAATTGACATTGACATCATTATCTTAAACTTTTTTCTGTGTCAGGGTGGAAGGCATTGTTTTGGGCATCCTTAATTCCTCTAATTGTAAGTGTCCTTATTGGTGATTAATAAAACCTCAATTTCAAGCCGAATCCTGACCGCATAATACTTCTCAGATAATCTTAGCTGTCGACACAAAGCTACAAGCCATTTTGACAAAGATGGCCCTCGATATTACAGAAAGACATGCAGTGGTTCAAGGCATTCCACTTGTGCAAGGCTCAGATAAATATTTTTGGTTTGGTCGGCCCCAGTTAGTACTTAACTTAATACACTTTGCGCTGTTTCAGGTATTATCCTAAAACTATTAGCAAAGCATAGTGTCCCATCAACTAGGCTGAAGGAAGAAGTTCCATATCGTTCCATATCTAAAGTCTTTGAGATAATAATACCATTACTAGAATCAGTGATGAATAATCTGCCCTGTACTTCCAACTTTATTGAGTTCTACTGTTCTACAATACCTTATTTGATTAATTAATAACGAAAACTACATTTCTACGTATGTAATCCCATTAAAATATGGATCAATAGCTTTGAAAGGGAAAGAATCAGAGCCAATATTTTGAAAATTTACTTATTATGCCCTTCTTTGAGCCACATTTTTCCATCAAAATGCATTCTTGATCAGTGATTTATCGGGTAATGTTGGTATGTAAGAAGTTATTTTATTATAATACGTTTAGGTTTTAAAAAGGAATAAAAAATTGGTGTGTAATAGGTAGTATTGTGATAATGTTTTACGTAAAAAAAACTTTTTTTTACCCTGAATTTGTTCGTGATATACAAGCTATAAAAACATGCGCGTTAGTTTGTTGAAAATATAAAAGCCATTTTCATCTGTGTCTTTAACTCATTGAATACAACATAAAAGGGATTAGGTTTTCCAAAACAATTCTTTAACATACCCGTTACACGATGTATAAACGTCCTTATTGATCCATAGTATCTGCCCGTAATGTACTGTATTTGTAGTTTGTAACATTAATGTTTTTTCATGTACTAGGACGACCCTTATATATAAATTAGTTTTACCGGGTCCCCTTTTAAATTATTATTATTAATCTAGACAACTCTATTCACCTTCATTTATAGTTCACTTCAGAGATTATATGTCATCTATATATATTTTACGTATTAGTCCTAAGTTTAGTGAGTTGATACCTTTGGTTATATAACTTTTTCCGGATAGTCGGGTTTGAAAAAGTAGCCGGTTTTACTTCTGGACAAGAATTGAGGTCCAGTACTAACTTCTTTATTTTTTGTCTACCGACAATAGTATCTACTTATCAGAGGAACACATCAGTACCAGGTCTTACGTAGAACCATCTCCTTCCGTTCTGATTCTTTATATCTTTACTTTTCTCTAAGATGTTTTCAATTGTAAAGTTATCTATATCTTGAATTTCCTTTCTATGAAAATGATTGTGCTAATCAGTTTAATATCCTGTGCAGAATGCCTTTCAGATAACATATTTTTTGTGGATTTGGGTAAGGATTCTACTATAAACACAAAGTATGACTGCAAAATTTTATATTTATGAAATTGATAAGAAAAATAAGAATTTCTTTTGTGCAGTATGAATATAGTCTCAACTCTTGCTTCCATGAGAATCTCAAGCTTGTCATAGCAAAAACTTGCCTAGGGTATGCCTCTGTTCCACATCATTTCTTCACAAAATAATCTGTGACTGATTTTATCTCAAATGCTTGGAGTATTACCTTGAACTTGTGGAATTAACTTCTAATGCAATATTTCAGGGTGGGAGTCCTATTCTTATGCAGCTATATTACGCTTCCACTCTATGCCCTTATTGCTCAGGTACCATGAAAGCCCGTATATTTCTTAGAATTACCTTTGATATTCAAATGCTAATCGGTAAAATACCATGTGAATGTTGCTATTTCTAGGAATACCTATACTTTGTGAATATCATGTATGGTTCTAGTAGTAGTGAACTTTAAAGATTTGATTTTTTGAATACTATATTCCAGCATAGTTAAAATACTCTGAAAATGAACCTTACAAAATTATTCAGCAATGTGGCCTAACTGTTTTATATAATGAATGATCAAATTGTATTCAACTGGATAGGGAATAAATAGTTGATGAGTGCACGGGCTGAAGATGATCAGTATGCGATAATCAATTCTCTTAACACTAGGAGAGCTTTACTGACCCAAATCCTCAATGGCATTACTCTCACGTGGGAGCACCAGTCTGTGGTTTGCATTAAACATTGTCAGGGGAAGGTGTTTCCATCTGCAGAGGGGCACATACCCTGCTTCTCATTTGCACAACTGAATAGCCCTTCCACCACCAACCACCACAAACCAGAAAAATCTTCAATTTTCATCTTGCGCATTCTATCAATTACAACCAGAGGCCAAAATAACCTGCCAAATATTTTGCCCCACAGCCGTCTTACCATCAGAAAACCGAAATTTGGTAGTTACATAGTAGACGCTCTTTTTATTTTGACATTTAGGGTCCGTTTGATTGTAAGGGTGGAAAATGGGTGGAAAGAAAATGAATTTCAGGGAAAGTAATTGCCTAGAAATTGTTTTCCAAGGACTTGTTAATTAAGTGTGTTTGATTGGTATAATTTTTCACCCGAAAAATTTTTAAATTTTGTGTTCGTTAGTAAAAGAACAGTGTAGGCTCGTTAGTAAGGCCATGAGCAAACTCTTCTTTTTAGAGTGGAGAAGAACCAAAATTGAGGCCTTGAGACTATAAAGTTACAGATTCAAGGCTGAGAAATGTGCATATTTCTACGACTTTTGACATAAATATTCACAAAAACTTGTAAGAAACTCTCACAAGATGTTCTCAAAGACCCAATACAGGCCAATATGGCAGCGTGCATAAGTGTAGGTCATTTAGGGTTTCTAACTTTTGTGAAAAGTGTGCTTACTAATCAGTAATTGGCTAGTCTCTACTTGGCCCCTGATTGTCAAAAGATTCCAATGCATTTCATGATTGGCACTTGTGAAGATTTTAAGTGGTTAAGGCTTGTGCTTTCAATTAAGTAAACATAAAAGAAATTGGTCCTAATTCGGTGTTCTTGACACTTGGTGGAAGAAATAGTGGCCTTCAGGCTTCTAGGAAGAGTTTTTTCCTTGAAGTCTTTACATGGAACGATCTCTAGTGTAATAGTTTATTGACTAGTTTCATGTTAAAATGCTATTTAACACAGGCCTAATCATGACTGGCTTAATCTTAGTAATCCCTTTGGTGTAAATTTTACCCTACTTTCAGGAGGAAGCCCTACAATCTCACATGGCATGAGTTTGCACACCTTATCTATCTATCATCTATCTATCTATCTATCGATCCATCCATCCATCCATCCATCCCTCTCTCCCTCCCTCTCAAAATTCTTTCCAGTTTGAACTATGACTTGTCTACTAATATAATAATTAATACCTTAGGGTGTATATTATTCAAGGAAGTATTTCTCGTGTGTTTTAACATCGAAAAGAATTCAAGCTAGTAACATCAACAATTGGACCTTCTTGATAAGGGAGACCATTCACAGTGAGAGGAGACTAGAGTTAGGTCCTTTAGTATGACCCTACCACACCGATTTCCTCCTGACCATCTAGATTGGTCAGTGCTAAAGATATTTGTGGAACTTACCAAATTCATTTTACATTCCGAAAGGGGCCCATTGTCACCAATTTCACCGTGTCAGCCATTAAGTCTACCTCCAAGGTAGAATAGACTTTCAAAACCATGCCATCACATAACCATCTTCGTCACTTCTAAAATCACATCATCATGTCAACTATCTCTTCATTTATCATTTGAAGTTTCTTATTGTCTTAGGAAATTATTGCATGAATGCTGCTAGTCATGAGCTTCCCCATCAGGTTTAAAGATTTTACAGATCACACAAAGATTAGGATATGTGTGAGCTTGATTGTGTGTGATGGTGGTGAAGGACAATAACAATGAGGGTGGGAAACTGTCTGCTCAGCCATGGAAATGGGAATTTGAGAAATAAGCATGGTTTTTTTCTGTCTTACTCAGCTCTACGAAAAAGACATGGCCAGTGGATTTTATGTGGGTAGTAGACACAAAAAGAAAGTTAATTTGAAACATGTGAATCTTGTGAACTTCGAATTAATATACCATCAAATTGAAAGAACTATAGTAGATTTGATAATAATTTCAGACCATCTTCTTACAGAAAAAAAGGACTTGTATAATTATTCCATGTCAAACTTTCCCCTGGTCTTTTGGGTCGGAGATCCGACGTAAATGCTCAAGTATTCTGACTAAATTCAGAAATTAATATGAAATATCATGATTAACATTTGTGTATGGCTAATTGAAGCTAGTAGATTTCCTACTACAGATAAATGTGAACCAACTTCTAATTTGTATGTGGGAAATACAGATGGGATCACATATGAAGAAATCTATCTTTGATGAACAAACATCGAAAGCCCTTAAGAAGTGGCATATGGATGTGAAGAAGAAGAATAAGGGAGGTCGAGAAGGTAGGTCTGCACGAACCCTGGGTGATGCAAGTCCCACTTCTTCAATGGGCTCACCTTTCCACTCGACTGGTGCTGCACTTCATCGTTTCAAAACTACTGGCCACTCAACAAGTCAATTTGATTATGATGACCACGAAGCATCTGATCTAGAGGGTGAGCCATCATCACGTTTGGAACCGACATCCAGCTTAATCGTAAGAGTTGCTCAAGATGATGATATGGATAATGACACGAGTAGGCCACACAGTGGAAAAGAAACTACGAATGAAGATGACTTCTCATTTGCTAAACCTGCTACCCCAAAGTGAAGACGAAAGAGGGGCTCCCTCTATGAGAAGTGTTATTTTTCCCCATTCTCCCACTGTATGAGTTTCTCAGTTATTTATATCCATCCGCTTTGAGGGAATGTGGCATTACTGAGAAGCTTATGTAAAGTTTAATTGTTGTGTTTCAAGCATTTGCTGATCAATGGAATTTTTCATCAATCTTTTTGACCCAACCATGTGTTAAGTCTAAAATCAAAGGTAGATTCGCATCATTCTCCCCGAGTTGGAGATAATTTGCTCTCGAGTTGTAAGTCATATCTGCAACTAAGGTCTCGTAATTGCAGCAAAGTTGGAAGTATATGATGATCTACCCATTTTTCCATCTTGATTTTCCAATATATGGAGGGATTATTATCACAACAAAGTATTTATACGTAAATTCCGTGGTTACTTTTAAAGAAACACAACTTAAAACATTAATATTTTAAAAGAATTGAAATATTGCTCTTGAAGAAATATGAACACCGACGGAATCATCGATGGTATATGACATTTCGATGGAAATTGTTAAGAGTTCTTTTGACAAACATTCGTTAATGGTTTGGAATCATGTTGCACATTTTTGAAAGGTTTAAGAGCTTCACTGCAAATTTCTCTTATTTTAACTAATTAGCTTAAAATATTGTTTTGTCCATTTTAAAATTGATCAAATTGAGACCGCACATTTACCACATGTCTGGTGCCGCTTGTTTTTGAATTAAAAGCAAAAATGATGCCGTTGGAATTGGTCAGTGGGTCCCCTGCAAGAAAGAGTTTGTCAAAAATGTCAAGTTACAATGGCTGGAAAATCAATTTCTTTCCTCCAAAAATCTTGCCCAGGCAGGGCCTTAATTTTTGGTCAATTGACAGATTTTTGAATGAAAATCGTTAGAGATCGTTCTAGCGCATATTTATTAAATAGTTGCTACAATTTAAATGTGTACGCAACACATTTTTCAAAGATTTGGTACCTCTGCTACACCGTTAAAAATAAGAACTTACCTCCGCTACAATTCATTAGTAGCCATATTTGACTAGTTATTCTAAGCCCACATCTAACGATTTTCAATTTTTGATATATGCATTGCATAACTGGTCAAAAAGTTTTCGATACCACGATCTTACCTTGAGGGTCCAGAAATATAGCCCGAAAATAAGACAAAAACGGTGATGGTCACCAATTAGATTTATTAAACTTATTTCATGCAACCATTTTACCTTGCTATTGTGACCTTATCGTGTAGTGGTTTCGCAAATTGAAAGCTACACTACGAAGTATGCCATTAGTACTTCTCAACAGTTTCAAGAACCTTTGACTTTCTAGAATTATAATTCGAAATTGACGGTGAAATATGTCGATTGCAAATTTTTCTCTAATTATTTTGGGGTTAGGTGATCTTGAGCTCACCCTCGATTGACCCCCTATAGATAGTTTCGTCGAAATCACCGATCATAATACCTCTGACGATCACCAACATAAATCAACATATGTCTGGTGAATTTCATCGATTTCCAGAATACCTTCTAAATCTCTATTAAAAATGTCCTTGCAGCGATAATTTCCACCAACTTGAAATATTGCTATCGGAAAATTTTGTTGGTAATGTTGCGCAATGAATGGTATGACTAGAACATGATAAGAAGATGGTATAATTTCCAGAAGAATATTGCAAACCAGAAACATATGGTACGATTAGAACATGATGGGCAAAACGAAAGAAGATAACAGCCAACTTGTTTCCCTAATCATGATTTGTAGAGATAACACGAGGAGGCACCTCCAGTCGTGTATGAATTGTTGATCAAAATGACTCACAAGAAATAAACCAAGCCTTTGAACTTCAGATGTACTCAATTCTTTACAGTTGAAGAAGCAGTTTGTTTTGCTCCCACAGCAAAGAATTCTGTAATGACTTCGAGTGGCATGCCCTTTGTCTCGGGAACTTTAAGAAAGACAAAGAACCATGCTATGGTGCATACAATTGCATAAATTCCAAAAACACCAGCCAGGCCAATCGAGTTGAGCATGACTGGGAGTGTGTATGTGACAATGATGTCTCCAATCCAGAAAGTGAGAGCGCATATAGCAATACAGATACCACGAACACGAGTAGGAAAGATCTCTGAGCAGAGGATGTTTGGGATTGGTCCAAATCCCATAACAAAGCAGCAAAAGTAAATGATGACGCTGACAGTTGAGATTACAGCATGAACTACAGTGCCCAAATCAATGACATTCCCAAGTACTAGGAAGATAAGTGACAGCAGTAAGACGGGCAAAGTAGATAGCAGAAGCCACCTGGAGAAGAAAAAGATGCAGTTATGTTAAGACTTATTTTTGCAGAAATTAAAGTGAAAAATCTAAGGTTTAAACATTTGAAGACCGCCAGAAAATCAAAGTTTTACCTTCTTCCAGCAATATCCATCAGTCTCATTGCTACACCTATGCTTGGAAGCATCAACAATGTTGTGAGAGCACTTATAAGAAAAGATGCAGAATCTGAACCAATGCCCATATTTGATAGGAGAACTCCAACTCCAGCTTGTTCAAGAATTTGGGGAGTGTAGTAGAGTACCCCATTTATGCCAGAAAACTGCACAGCACAATTTATATCAGCACTAAGTAAGATTACTTAAACGAACACATCTATAGTTAGACAAATTTGAAAAGGAAAATCTTTATATTTGGTTAATCTCACCACAATAATTCTGATGTGGTTCTATGCAAATGAAAATTAAGTAAACTGGCTAACGGCCATTGAAATCATACTCTACTCTATCTGGAAGTTACTGCTATAGATGAACGAGATACCCCTTTACATAAGCGAAGTGCAGTTTCATGCTTCCCAGGTGGATGATTCAAGCTGCCTAAGTTCTTAGATTGTTCGGAACAGCAAAAAGTAATTTAGCTTCTCAGTTTAAGGATGTATGTGAAACTGATGCATATCATAAGATTGCTTGATGCTACTGATCATATTCAAAAGTACGACAGCACATATATTCAACCGGACATCAAAATGTATATTAGGGATTCAGGTCTATGACAGTGAAAGTTCTTTCAAATTGAGTATTAGTGAAGGAGAATGGGACAACTTATTTTGCATCACAAAGGAGCAATGTAAATGCCAGGAGTCACTGGAGCATAGTGTAGAATACTTATCCAAGGACTTGAAGGTTGTGCAATTAAATGTAAGTGTGGAGGGTTTAAGTAAAAATTGGAGACTTCTATCATAAGCTTTTTTTTTCCTTTGCGTGTCATTTAATTGTTAACTGCCCTTTAAACCTACAATAGTCGATTTTACTTACCTGCTGAAGAATTTGAATTCCTACACCAACAAAGAGTGCATGTTTGACTCCTGGTTCAAAAAGTTCCCTCCATCTCGGCCCTTTAGTAGCAGATTCGGATGGCTTGTCCATAGCTACACCAATTGGATGCTGACTTGCAAGGTCCTCTGCATGTATGACAGATTGGCTCACAAGAGCAGCAGCATGAATGAATTCACCTTCAGCAGTAGGGACATCACCAGAAAGCGAAATAATGGAACCACGCCGGGATCCAATGCCACCCTCCTGGTGCAAATAGATCCTTTTGAGTGCTCCTGAATTTTTCTCGTCTTTCTTATATGCTAGTTGCCAACCACCACCAATACCCATACTACTGACTTGTTCACCGGCATTGTCCTTTTCAGCATTTGTCTCCTGGCGTGAGAGCAATGGGCTTCTCAAGTTGTCATCAGATTCAGCACCAGAAGCGTCATCTCCATTTTCACCTTCCCTTTGCAGGCTTTCCTCGTCCCATTGCTCATTTTTAACTTGTTGATCCACGACATTAAACATGCTTCCAAAATTTGAAAAGAGCATACTTCGCATGCTTCCCATTTCTGGGAGCTTCTCGTGCACACTTCCAAAAAGAGTGACCATAGGATCCATAAGAGGCACACTCTGGTTAGCCATGCTCCCTTGACGGGAGGCCAGACCGAGAGTACTTTGTCGTGAGACAGGTTTGGCAATCCATGAAAGTCCCTCTTCAGCACCATACAGTTTTATATGATCTTTCTTCACAACATGTTCTTGGGCATCCGTAAGATCATTGTCCGGACCAATTATGTACTCCTCTATGGATGTTTCTCGTCCAACACCCAGACCTTCAAGTAACAGAGCCATTTCACCTATTGACAGAAAGAGCCCACAACTGGGATAAGAATCGTCTTTCACATAAGAACACGGGAAAGAATGTGTCCTGAATTTAACGAAAGCTACTACCTCAGTCACCAAAATACTCTATATTGATTCTCTTGAAGCAAAAAGTAAATAGTATTCTTTTTGTAAAGTCTGTAAACAATTGTGTACCAAAATACTTACTTTCTAACATCTAAGAGATAAGTGAAAAGTTCACTAAATCCCATTGAAGCCCAAAATACCAAGGCACAGTAGTCGTCATGTCTGAGTGTAGAACTAATTTGAGTTTTTGGAGCATAAAATGTCTCAAAATATATAAAGTTGAGATAAGAGGAAAGTGATGTTTGACCTTGTAAATCATTAATCAAATTTTAGATCTTTCAAATTTACAATCTTAGGACGACAAGTAGATGAAGGACATGGTAATCATTTGATAAAATGTATAGACGACAAATGTTCAATGAAAAAGGACAAGGCAATCGTTTGATGAAGTGCAACATTTTAGTATGTCATGAACTAGATTTGAATCTCTCCATAGATGCCAATATGCAAAATTATGTATAATGTTTCACCAATTCCAAATTTTCAATATGCCCAGAGCAGTTAACTATAAAACCTTTAAATCTCAAATGAGTAAGTTAACAAAATTGAACTCAATGTGATTTGATCCTGAATTAGATAACTTAATCATTAAAAAAAAAAATCCCACAGCAAAAGTAACATACCTGAAACATCTTCTCTTCCACGTAGTCTTTGTAAAACTCGTTTGGCCTCTTTCATCTTTCCTTTACTAACGAGCCACCTTGGTGATTCAGGTAGGAAAAAGACTGTGAGTACAAAATAGATGATAGACGGAATTGAGAGCACTCCAAGCATCAACCTCCAACTAGGTGACTCAATTAATGACATTCCAAAGACCATGCAATATGACAAAAACATGCCAACAGAACCAGTAAACTGTGGAAGGGTATTTAACAGTCCTCTAATTTCTGGTGGAGCCGTCTCAGATATATAGACAGGAACAAGAGTAACAGCAAGACCAATACCGAAACCATCCAATAGCCTTGCCAAAAGGAGAACATAAACATTTGGAGCCCATAGCATTACCATTCCACTGATAAAATAAAGAACTGATGATATTATTAGCATTGGACGGCGTCCAAGCCAATCAGATACAGGTCCTGAAAATGTTGTAATAACTGTTGCTCCAATAAGTGACATTGCAACAATTAGCCCTTCTATGGTTGGCTGGCTTTGCAAGTTAAATTCCCTTTTGATGTAAAGCACAGCTCCTAAGCATAATAGACGTACAATGAATTAGTTTCTAGAAAGAAACAGAATCGAAAATTTAGTACTTGATAGTAAAGAAAAAACCTGCTATAGTTGCATTGTCCCATCCTTGCAACATGTTGCCAATGGCAGCCGCAATGGCTACTAGCACAACTGCACTCATCCTCGAATTAGTTTCTCTAACTTCGATGCTCGTTTATTGGTAAATGCTTATATCATATGAACTACAGGAGGTCCAGATTTTCCAAATTCTGAGGGTGCACCTAAAGAAACGAGACACAAAATTTAGGTCCTATATTGAAACCGTCTTTCAAATCAGACCAGTGAGCCTCTAGCTCAGCTACAATCATATCGACTGCTAGATCAATCAAAAGACATAGTTTTTTTTTAAAAAAAAAAACAGTAAGGATCTAGAATGTACAAGTTGAATATCAACACTATAAATCTAATCCAACACTTAAAAAGCAAATTTTATGATTCAAAATGTAAAATTAAAATAATGCATCACTTGGAATCAAACTACCAAACAGTGATATAATTGTTCCATTGCATAAGCTAATAGCAAATAACTGTTTATTTAATTTTACAACCAATTAAGGACAATCGATTGGAGAACTGGGTACTCAATTAATATTAAGAACTTTTCATACCCGCGGAGTCCGCTATCACCCCCAAAAAACCAAACTCTGCCTTACGTAAAGTTGTACGATTGACCTCTGAATTGACTACCCCGGGAAGGTGGGGCATCAATCACTAGTCCTCTTATTCGGAAAACACTTTTTTCGGTCATAAACAGCAGGTGAACTTCTATAGTAAATGGAATATATAGAATTGTGATCAATCAAATATACATATTTTTTGTAAAATCCACAAAGATTTTAAGAACTCAGGTTCGGTTGACAGAGTCAATTACTTTACGATCTACCCAACAAATCCAGTGAGTTTTAAAAATTAATCACAGAATCGAAACACACATATAGATCTGCCAATGCTGACATGCACATGCATTTTCATAAATACAGACCCCAAAACTCAAATTGCTTGAATTATAAAACATAATTTTATAAATTCAAACACGATCCACACCCTAGAATCAGAGCCAAGAAAGTGAACATATATACGCACGAACATGCAGAGATGACTAAATCGCATCAAGAAATTTGAGCAGCCCTCCTGCAATATTATTATTCGAAGAAACACAGACAATGCCACAATGTGTATATATAGAATATAAAGAAGACAATACAGCTTTTGTTTATTGCTTTGATACGGAAAGATTAAGTGAGCGATGCAACTGTGAGAGAGACAGAAAGAGACCTGGAACAATTGTGAATCGGTGAGACGTTTTGGGATAAAAAACCAATTCAAAAGGGTGGCCACCGATGAACGTGCTTTGCTGATCTGTTTAGTTTTCTGGTTTCTTCACATGCTTCCTTATTTTTGTCGTTAATTGTTAGTCAGAGCCATATTCGGACATATGAGATGTACCCTTCCTCGGTAAAGAACAAGATTGCTCAATCAGCTTGTTTTATAGCAAAATTTAGACCCGACAATTTTGAAGAAAAAATGGTTCAATATTTCACCAAGGCTCAAGGAATCCCATTGCGAGAAAAATAAGGTTATGACAAATTACATTTGTTTGATTGGATTCGGTTCGATTCAGTTCATTTCAATATGGGAATAAGTTTAGAGAATTTTTTTTTTATTTGAAATAAAAAACTAAATGAAGCATCGTTAAAAAATGTTTCAAGATTATTTAGGGTCAGAGTCCGGAATCCAAGCATTTTGAAGCGAAATTGCTTATAAGTTAGTCAAACATACTTATAAGCATTTTCAGTAACAAAATATTCTTGGGTTTTAGAAAATAGTAAGTAACCTTAAAATTAGACAAATTACTTGATATGCTTCACTAAATTCCGCCCACTGATTGGTTAGATTTTTTAGCTAATTAATTATTTTTATTAAATATAAATTTTCTCAAAATAAAATGTACGGATTTCAAATATAATTATTTCTATTAAAGAGGGAAAAAATGGCGGAAATTTTGTGTACAACTCACCACATGCTGGGACTTGGAGTCTTGGACAGACACTCGACAAATTCAAAACCTCAACTTTTAGTAAGTTTTTTGGATCAAATCATGTTACCCACAAATATGCAGTACAATGTATTAAAAAATAATTTAATTTTGTAACTATTATCGTATGCCACATTATTAAACTGATAACAATATCAGAAGATTACATATAATTTACTCAGTCTGGAAAATTGAGTTTTGACCGGCATTGGCAAAACTAGTATCCGGCGAGTATTGGTGGCTCCCCGTGCTAGATCCGTCGATATTAAAAAAAATTTGGTGTCAATGTATATATTTGTTTAGTAAGCGGGAGATCTTAAGTTCAATTCTTTACAAAAGCAATTCATCGTGCAATTATTTTAGTTCAATATTTTTCACCATTTTAAAGTATAGTTACTTAAAAAAATTAAAATCATTGTAAAGGGAAAGAATCCAACATATGATTCCCTTTAGAAATATGAAATGTTTGACTACTATGGGATTTGGTGAATGTTAACATAAAATG